TGAGCGCCACCATATTGGCTATATTTTTCAATACCAGGTTAGCATGCCTTAATAGGAATGAGATCAGTGAGGCTCCTTTGAATAAGTATGAAGTGAAATGGTATTTAACTGAAGCCCCCAGGCCTACTGCCATGTATATTCCTGTAACCCTCTAGAGGGGTTAATAAACTAAAGCATGGAATGCAGAGCATTCCAGGCACCATGGCTCAGGTGTGAAAATGGCCTGAGGCAGTAGAACCTGGAGAGTTCCTGAAATTATAAGAGAGCTAATATAGCTAGAACATTGAGGTAGAGTGGAGAGGAGACCAGAAAAGAGGGTGAACCATGCAGAACTGCATGGACATGTTGAGAACTTAGACTTTCTCCTAAAAACAAGGGAAAGACATGAAAGTGTCTAAGCAAATAAATATGATCTAAATTTTGTTTTCAAAGGATCATTCTGAAAAATAAAATAAAATTTAAAAAGGAACATTCTGGCTGTTGTGTGAAGAGTGAATTGTGGGGGACAGGAGGCAACAGTTGACAGGGCAAGAAAAATGATGGTAGCTTGGACAAGAGTTCTGGTGGCAGAAATGGAAGGTAGTAGATTAACGAGAATATACTTTGATTACTCATAAAATTCAACCTGACTTTGTAAAGGACTGGATGTGGGGGTAAGAAAAGAAATATTATAATAGAAGACTCATGCTTCTCAGATGGTAACAATATTGTTTGGATAGGAAACATTGGAAGAAGAAGAAACTGTTACAAGTTGGATTTTGGACATGTTGAATTTAAGATATGCAAGCATATACATCAGTTAGGACACTGGACATATGCAGCTGAGGCTCAGAGAAGCCTGGGCCAAAGATGGAACTTGTGATATGAAGTCTTGGGAGTAGATGGGAAAAATGGGGGATTGGGACCTAGTGTTGAGGAATTCAAGCAATGAAGCATTAAACAAAATAGTACTTTTAAAAAAAATATTTTATTTATTTGGACATTTCAGTCTGTTTGGGCTGCCACCTTTGCTCATAGGATAAGGCTGTGACTTAGTCTGTAAAGAAAGAACTTTACAAAAGACATTAGGGCCTCCACAGCAGACAAAGAGGGATTACAAGCAGGAATGGAAGCTCCACCCAAGAGGAAAATCCGTGACAGCATTTTGCTCCTATAGAAACCTCTCTGAAAGTGCCAGCTGCCATCTGGGAGTTGGGTTCTCCAGGATGCTCCAGATGCTCTTCTCTGCAGAGAAGCCACTTACAGAACCTACAAGGGAGCAACCCATTAATGAAGTGGGCCTGCAAGATTTAAGAGAATCCCCAAGTACTACCTAAGTTAACCAACATACTCTTCATTCATAAAGATGAACAGAAAACCTAGGATCCCTAAGAACTTAAGGAAAACCAGGAAGCATGAGAAGCACCAAGATGAACAAACAGAATTAACTCCAGAAAAAAAAAAAAACTAATTTACAGAACAAAAGGAGCTTTTGAAAACTTCTAGTCAATGTCCTTGGGAAGAGTTGAGAAAATATTGCATCTGTAAAATAGAAAGGTTAAGATGAAAAAAGAGGAAGATGAAGACCAAGTTATTACAAATTAAAAACATGATAGTGAAAAGCAATTAGTGGACACATTGAAAAATAAAATAGATCTAGCTTAAAAGTAAACCATGCTATACATGGAATATGACTCAGCCATAAAAAAAATGAAATCGGGATGCCCAGGTGGCTCAGTGGTTGGGCAGCTGCCTTCAGCTCAGGGCATGATCCTGGAGTCTTGGGATTGAGTCCCACATCAGGTTCCCCACAGGGAGCCTGCTTCTCCCTCTGCCCGTGTCTCTGCCTCTCTCTCTCTCTCCCTCTCTCTCTCTCTCTGGGTAATAAATAAATAAATAAATAAATAAATAAATAAATAAATAAAATTGTGCCATTTGCAACAACATGGATAAAACTAGATAATATATTCTGCTAAATGAAATACGCCAGTTAGAGAAAGACATATATCATGTCATTTCACTCATGTGTGGAATTTAAGAAACAAAACAAATGAGCAAAGGGGGAAAAAAGAGAAAGAAGCAAAACAAGAAACAGACTCTTAATGATAGAGAACAAACTGGTGGTTTCCAAAGGGAAGGTGGAAGGGGGACTGGGGGAAACAGGTGATGGCAATGAAGGAGGGCTTGTCATGATGAGCACCAGCTAATGCACGTAAGCGCTGAATCACTATACTGTACACCTGAAGCTAGTATTTTACTGTATGTTAACACTCTGGAATTTAAATAAAAACAAAAAACAAAGTAGACTATGTTTTTCTACTCTACTCAATACTTTTTCAAACAAAGTTTGAGGGCAAAGTTGTTTTTTTTTTTTTCCCAACATGAAATATCTCAGAAATTCTGTTTACAAACATGGATACATTTTATAAAAGGAGTCATTCAAGGTGGATTCCAGCACAATGCAAAATGAATTGAAGGAAAGTAGATGCAATGATGTTCAGAAGACATTGGCAGCTGAGTGAGACCCAGAGGGTGGAGGAGAAAGCCATTTAGAAAGTAAAAATACGGAAAATTCACTTGCAAAGTTTTCCTAACAGAGGACTTCTCTATCATTTATTAGTAGTCAAATATACCACGTGACTTTTGGAGCATATCATTTACACAATCGTAACATTGTAAATGTTGATAGTTGTCTTTAAGCGTTCAAAAACAATTGATAGAAAATTATGAGAGATGTCATTGTTTTACAGAATAGTATGAAAGTATCATGCATGTTAACATTGTAGTATTTCATTAACTAAAACGATTAGGAGCTGTGAGAAGGACAGTTAGGACGTATGCTAATGTCCTCATCTGTTATACATACAGATTTAGAATTGATAAACCATCAGAGAGGTTTTAGTGAATAGTTTAAATTTAGAAAAACTAACTTTAGGGATGCCCAGGTGGTTCGGTGGTTGAACGTCTGCCTTTGGCTTAGGACTTGATCTTAGGATCCAGGATCGAGTCCCACATCGGGCTCCCTGCGAGGAGCCTGCTTCTCCCTCTGCCTATATCTCTGCCTCTCTCTGTGTGTCTCTCATGAATAAATAAATAAATCTTTAAAAAACAAAAACAAAAAAAAAAGGAAAGAAAGAAAAACTAACTTTAAATAAAGAACTACAAATAGAAACAGTAATTGATAGTTCCTGCTCTTAGGTGAAACTGGTCTGTGTGATGGTAAGAGAAATGTTACTCATTTAATATAAGTTTTTATTTTTTTCTTTAACCATATGCTTATTTTCTATCCTCTCTGTTGGCTTTTATAATTTTTCTCTTTATCTTTGATGTTATATGTATAGTACCTCGTATCAATGAATTTATTCCTCGTATTAATGGAGTAGTATGTGCTTTTTTTTTTTTTAAATCCTGAGAGCTACTATCTTTTTTTGGTTCTGGACAATTCTCTGCCATTATTTTTTTCTATTTTGCTTCTCCCTGGCCTCGTACTTTCTTCATATTAGGAGGCCTAGTAGAGTATGCTAAGCTTCTTATTCTTGCTCTCCCCATTCCCACATCTCTTAACTTCATATTTGTCTTTCTTTACCTATTTGTGATATAATTTGAGTGATTTCCATGGATCTTTCAGTTTCATGACTCTCCCTTCAGCTGAGTACTCTTTATTTCAATAACTACTTTTTTTTTAGTATTTAGAATTCCTTTTTTGACTCTTTTTCAAACCAGCCCGATCTTCTTTTACACTCTTCTTATTTTATGGATGTTATTTCTTATATCAAATTTCCTATTAGTTTTTATTATATAGTTTTAAAGTCACTAGTAGTTTGCTTTGGTTCCTGTTACTCAGGTATGCATCTTATTTCTTACGCTTACTGACACCCTGAGTTTCCATGTGTGTTTGTGGCTTTTGTAATTTGGGGCTGTGACCTCATCAAGTGTGAGTTGCCTTCTGCAGATTTGCTGTCACGGCACCGGATTGTGTAGGCATTCCCATGTGGTTGTTTTAGATTTGCCAGAGGATTTGTGGATTTCATTTCTAGAGCAATTTTCATGTCCGTTTCTGTGCTCAGGATTTTCTTACCAAATGGGTAGTGCATATTCCAGAACCACACCTTCCAAGAGTGATAGTATTTCTCCTACTATAACACTTCAACAAGAATTAACTGATTGTGATAGTAAAATTTGAGAAGAAATTGTATCAACCCACCCATGATGGAGTCATAGCTTTTTTTTTTTTTTAAACACAATGTCAGTCCACCCCTTTCCATGTTACAGCTGAGGAAAATGAGTTAAAAAAAAAAAAAAAAAGAAAGAAAAGTTAACTTGTATTGGGATCCAATGAATTAAAGGCCTAACAGAGCCTAAAAGTTGAGCCTCTTTGTTGTTAAAATGCATTTTAATTTTATATGGATGGTGACAGATGCTGGTTCAAAGATAAACCTGGACTACCTTTTATTATATTCTTAACTTTGGTTTCATGATCCAAGTGCCTGGAAAGCAGTTCCCCTAGCAAGATCCTCCCCTGTGTTGCATGTTATCAGGTATTCTGGTGATGTGAAATCTTTCATACCCAATTAGCAAATTCAAGCAGTAATTGTTACTGCTAGTAGAGATACTGTTCGATTCTGCTTTGCCAGATCTTTGTCAACAGTTTTACTTTCATCTTCCCTTCTTTTAAAATCAGGCAATTTGCTTACAAATAGGAAACCTTTTTGCAAATCACTGCTAGGTCTTTTTCTTTCTTTTTCTTTCCACAGTGCCTAGCAAAGCACCTGCCATGTTCATATACATAGGCACTTTATAAATATCTGCTGATTCAGCAATTTGTTAGTGACTTTCCTTCTCTTTGATTTTTCATTTTTGTATTGGGTAAAGGAAACATGCCAGACATAAATTTTTATAGGACATTTTCAGGAGCTTACTTTCTTTCCATGTTTCTATAGAGACCATATGCAAAGTATGTGATTCATATTCATTTATCTAATTTAAAGAAAATTATGATTTATTTCATATTCTGCTTCCAGAAAAGAGTGTTCTGAACATCACCCTGACGTCAAAGAACCTGAAGCTGAAGGAGCTTGTGTGTGGACAAGAGGCCCTGGCAGCTCAGATGGATCCTATGGAGCTGAGAAATGTCAACATCGAACCTGATGAGGAGGAGAGTGTCAGTGGAGAAAGTGCTCAAGATAGCTATACCGGGATGGGAAACTTAGAAAAGGCAGCAATGAGCAGGTATGGGATTAAAAATGACCAGGTTCCATGGAAAAATGTCAGGTTTATGGATGTGTAAAACAAGGGTTTTGTCAGGAAGAATTGGATTCATTACTTACTTGCTAGATAACAATGGCATCGATGCTCACACATCAACTCTCTGATCCTAAAGTTCATTATTATATCATTACTATATGTCAGTCTGATTTAGATTGTGTGTGACTAATTTAGAATTGAGGTTACAATGTTCTTGTCCCCATTAATATAGAACATTTTAAGTTATATTAGCTAATCATTTCTTTTACCTTTTGGACTATATTCCCTCCGACCCCTCTTCCTTTGACTGCCCTGTAAATGTTGCTGCATCTCCAGAATTCTGTAGGGATTCTTTGGTCACTAAAAGTGACCGGTGACCAAGCTCATTCACAACTATCAGGGTTTCACTCACTGAACGTGTGCCACATCTTCAGCCTGTTAGACTTCTCAACTTCATTTCAGAGCACTATATCCAACTGTCAACTACACATCTTTACAGGGTGACTCATGTGTCTGAATTGCCTTATTTATAAAGTCAAACTTGTGGTGTCTAATATTGAACTCTGATATTTCTCTTCAAAATCTACTCCTCCTCCAGTAATTGCCACCATGGTGGAAGTCACCACTATCCTGAAGCAAGTCAGTGAAAAGACCCTGACTGTCAATCTTGAATCATCCCTTCCCCCAACCACACATCCAGTGTTCAATTATATCTAGTTGGTTCTACCTCTTTAATGTTAAAAATCCACCCTCTTCTCTGTACCCATTCTACTGCCATCTTTCTTTAGGAACATATCATCTGTCACCTATCTATTAAAACAGCCCTTCCTGTCCTTGGTCTCCCTATCTTACATTTTGCTCTCCTCCAACTAGCTGAAAAAGTAATCATTTACAATTGCAAAGTGACTCGGATTCTCCTTTGGTAAAAGGTGGTACCCCATTAGCTGTTAAGACAAAAATGGGGCTATACATTGTTTGGCATATAAGGCCCTTCATGATCTGTCCCTGACCTGGCTCTCCTGTCCATCTCTTGCTCTGCTCCCTTTTTGTAGGAAAGCCTTGTTGAGCCACTCCCAGCTCCCTATACCTTCACTCATTCAGCTCCATCTGCCTAGAATGCCCTCTTCTTGTGTCACCCACCCACCTTCCCCTTTCTCTATTGATACCATTCATCCTCCAAAACACGGATCAAAATCAGAACTCCCATGAAGCCTTCCCTTGAGTAGAAATGACCATTTCCTTCTTTGTGTGGCCTCTCTCGATCTTTATTCCACTACCAACAGGGCAATGGCATCTGTGGCCCCAGCACATATCACACTGCCTGGAACATAGTAGGTGCACATAGTCATTTGATAAAGTAAATTAATTTCTCACGAAATGGCATAGAACACAGAGGGTGGCATAAAACATAGAACACATAAGACACTGAGATGGAATTTTTTTACTAAAGCTAGACCTGAAGTAGAGAATATTACCCTCAGACAAGGACATCTCATTTCATTTCATATCATCCAGGAAAGATCATCAGGAGGAGCACTATTCTTCCTCCACGGAGCCAGTGCAGTTGACTTCCGTGCTGTTGGACTAGAGAGACAATGGAGATGTAGATTGTGGTATTTTCTAGGTTGAGCAACTCTCGAGAGGGCACAGTGGGGCAGAACACAGGGCTTTGGAATCTACAGAGTGGTTGCCTGAGTTTGGAGAATTTACTTATCTTCTGTGAGCCTCGGTGAAAAATGTGGAATGACAAACTAGCACCTACTTTTCTGAGGATTACACGAATGCCTGAAAGAGAGCTGATACCCAGTAAACTCTGGTTCTTTTACCTCCACTTTGTTACTGGGGTAAAATGACCAACTCTGAGGGCTCTTGTTTCCGAGAAGGCTGCACACAGATATGAACTCCTGCAGAGGTAGCCAGGCTGAAGGGGACGCCATCTCGAGAACAGTCCTACAGGGTCATTCAACTTGGTCCTCTTAAAGCCGCAACAGAAAGATAGGAATGCTTTTGTTAAGATTCTTACAATGTGTTCTGGAAGGCTTACAGTGATTGAGCTTTTAACTCCTGACTCAAACACAGGTCATCTTTTTGCAATCTTATAATCACTTTTAAAAGATGAGTTTTGCTTATGTTTGGTTTGGATTGATGCCTTAAGTGTAAATTTCTAGGAAATTGAACATAATTCACTTATTTGGAATCATTATACTTATATTTTCAATACATGCTGGGTTTGGTATCAAAACATTTAAGACATTCAAAACATGTCTCATACATTTTATCCAGTCTTCTCATGTTGTAGAATTCATCTCATGCCAAAATAAAAACATGTGAATGCCTCGAGAGAGAATCTATTTACTTTCACATTTTAAATTTTAAAAACTACTCATGGACTAAAGGATTCTAATTTATTGATTGAGATTAAAAAAAATAGACTGTTGGCCTTCCAGAGTTTAAAATCCAGATGACACTTTTGTTTTATAGTCCTTAGGCCTGTTTTAGGCTCCATTTCATCTTACTTTGTCTATTTCCAACTATGAACATTATGTACTAGTCTCCACACAGCAAATATATTAACTACAGACCATTAAAATAAAGCACAAAAAGGAGCAGAGGGTGATAGGGGTTAGTACAGGAATGGAAGAAGGCATCAGAGGGCATTATGCTTCCTAGGAGGAAGAGGCAATGCCAGGAAATGTTCCTAACTTGTACACAGTGAACATTCTAGAAAAGCAAATAAAGCCTAGTAATTTTGTCTGCTGGTTCTACCTACACTTTAAAAATTGTTCTGTACTCTCCCAAAGTAACCTTGTTATCCCTCTTTCTCACAAGATATTTTCAGGATTAGCTGCTGTTATAAAGGATAATTTGTACAGATCTCCTATAATTACTAGTCAAGCATTTTAGAAATGTGGTTCTACTAGATCCATATCCTCAAAACCCCTGGCTTATAACCACAGGACCCATGACGCTGTGCAGTTCCAGCCTCTGCCCAAGTAGGCGACAATCACAATGTTTGCAGATAGTGACGGTGTAATGTCCTGTTTCCTTCCCAGCTCCTCTACCAATTCATAGGTTTCTTTAATCTTTTTCTTAGTTTCTCATTATCTAAACAACCCAAGTATATTTTCAGAGTAGTTAAAATCTACACACTCACAAAAACAACCAAACACAACACAGAGGTGCCATTGAACTACATTCCAGCAAGGGATATGAGATTAAGCAAGTAGTGTCAAGAAAAGAAGAAAACATGAGCTATGGGGTCTTGCCTGGGACTGCACAGTGCCATGGAAGACCCTAGACTTGGGCATGCTACTTCGTTCTTCTGAGCCAGGGTCACCTCGTCTTTAGAGTAGGGGCACGAACGTTCCTCTCCTTGGGATATTCGAGCATCAAATGAGATGAGGATCACAAGCCTAGGCACTTAGTATTTATTGATTAATACAATCATCTGATCATGGTGCAGTAGTATTGAGAAACCTCAATCGCCACTTTGTACCTTTTCTTTTGGAGGGCTCAAGATGAAAACAAAATTAGCTGTAATTATTCTCATTTTTGCATAGTTCATGAGGGAAAGAAGGGATGTGGCTTAAAAAATGTTTTCTTCCTTCACAACTTTTTCTCTCCTTCCCAAAGGATATTCATAAATGGAGCTCAATTGTTGGTCTGGAAGGAGCACTGGTGTGAAGGAAGAGAAGAAAGGAAAAAAAAAGTTTCAAATGCCTTGATTTTCCTCCTTGATTCAGTTACGTGGATCACCTGAAACATAAATATAATTCAGAGCATTTACTTCAATGTTTTTGCTTTATTTTCTTTTTTGTATGTGCATCCAGTCAATTTACTAATGAAGATGCTGAAAGTCAGAAATTCCTGACAAATGGATTTTTAGGGGAAAAGAAGCTGGCAGATTATGATGATGAACATGTAAGTGAATCTCTGCTTTCGGGTAGTAAACAGGACTTGAGGGTGCTTGATCTACCTAGTCTCTGTGGGAAAACAATGTGACTGAAATTTTCCAAGCCTTGATCAGCACATTCTCTGTTTATTCAGGCCCTTACTGGAATAAGGACTTGTTTTTCCTGTTCGCCATATGGCTACATAAATCATTTATGAAATTCATTTGTTTTTTGGAGAAATCATTCTAACCCAAATGTAATCTGCAATCAGACATGCTTTCCCTTCTTTACGTTATTCAACCTGTCTTTTCTATTTTTTTTTCCTGAGACCCCTTGCTGAAACCTAGCATTCCTTTGAAAATTATATACTTTTAGTGAACTAACAGCTTTTATTCGTTGTGATTTTATCTTATTATTTGATTTTGAGCTGTAACCTCCTCCAGTAAAGATAATAGCAGAATAAGAATAATTTGGAAAAGGTTCATCCTTTGGCAAATATTTGCTTAAAATGTGCCCTTTTTTCTTCTTTAAGCACCCTGGAACCACCTCCTTTGGAATGTCTTCATTCAACCTGAGTAATGCCATCATGGGCAGTGGAATCTTGGGCCTGTCCTACGCCATGGCCAACACGGGGATCATACTTTTTATGTAAGCATATCTGCTTCAACGCCCATGCACACCTGGTGTTCCTTCAATTAACCATCTCTATTAGCAATCTCAAGTTTGATCTTTGTGAACAAGAATGATCTGAGAAAGTATTGGCATATTCTCTAGCTTATAGACAGCAATCCGAGGACTAATCAGTAGACTAATCCTGGTGCTTGTTCAACCAACTGTCCCCACCAAATGACAGAAAGTATATGTGGTCAACCACCCAAAGTACTGGAGCAGCCCTACCAGTTCACAGAAATCATTTTACAGGGTGATTCACCGTAAAAGGATCTTTCCCAGAAGCAGATCCAACTGTATCACACTGTGAGGAAAAGGATCCCATCCCAAGTCAAGCATACAGAGTCCTGTGTGCTCTGGTTCCATCTTGGGCCCCATCCACTACGCCCCCTAGATGCTTGATACAATGGGCACACTGGCCTTCTCTCCATCACAGAAGGTGCCTTATTCCCTGCTCATCACAGGGCCTTTACACATGGTCCTAGAATTCTTTTTCCTTTCTTCTTCATCTAGTTAGTTAACTCCTCATAGCACAGCTTGTCATCACCCAAGTTATGCCTTCACTGACCTCCATGACTGGCACAAACACCTCATTAGACACTCCCCACAATTCTAATATTTTAGGGTAGTTGTCCAGTTTGGTTAGTATGCATCTCCCATGCTAGACTGTAATCTCCAGAGGACTGAGCCCATGTCTGTTTTGACTCACTGTATGTCTGTATCCCCAAGACCTAGTATAGTGCTTGGCACAGAAATATTTGCAGAGTGGCCAATGTTTATTCCTAAACCTAGGTACTTGGTCAAATGTTGCCTAAGGGCAGCAGCATCCCATAGCTGACCTGCAGGGTAGATGTCATCGTCTGTGACGGACAGCCACAGATGTTTGTGTGCATTATGTACAGCCTGGTATTTTCCAAGACACAGTTGGCAGTAGTGGAATTCTTCACAGGAATACAGTCTAATATTAGTCAGGCATCAGTGTGAATGCAGATTGCCATCCCTAATGCAATGCTAGTGCATTAAATAACTGTCTAAGAATGCAATGCTTATGTTATAAATATATGCTATTTATGTTTTGAACATCATTTATGATTAGATAATCACACAGCTATTTGAGGGATAAGAATCAGGCAGGACTATAAATATTTATATCATGTTAGTGCTCTGATCTGTTGTAGGTATAATATTTTTTAGCAGAACGGATTTTTGTATCAACCACTTTTTTACGTCATGTTTGAAATAAGGTCGTTTTTTCATTCTTTGATTCTTAATGCCTTAGAGATATATTCATACACACAGTCATGTACTTTTGTAATATGCACTAAGACAGACTGTCTTCTCCTTATTAATTATACAAACCATTACAATTAGGGTAATACCATCGATCACTGATGAATAGAAGTGAGAGGCTCTTACCCCCATCCTAGGGCCACAAGATCATTTTCATGGGAGGAGAATATTCCACTTTTAAAACCGGGGGCCTCATTTCAGGCCTAAACATTTAAGGGATTAAACCGTCCAGAGCAATTAAATTGTTAGACATCACAGGGCGTGCTCTGTGTATCCAAGGAGCAAGACTGAATTCGGCCATTTCCCTTAATTCACAGTGAATGACACAGGATTTCATTGGTTTTACTTTTAGTATTTAGCCCAAAGCAAGTATGTGGTTAGAATACAGGGGAGGCTCATTATTTTTCCAGGAAACAAAATTATGTAATCTGAATTACATCTTTAAAAACAGGTAAGTTCATGAGGTGTATGGAAACATATATGAGTAAGTCATTAGTTAGTTTTGATAAATGTATTTTGTAGAAAACAAGAGCACAAATAGCACAAGAACTTGTGGCCCAAATGTACATTTGCAACATTGATTTCATCAGGTATTACCAAAGAATTAGATCAATTGTGAGGAAAATGTTTAATGTGTTCTGATGGTGTAAAATAAAGAATAAGTGTTTTTTGTTTTGGGTTTTTTTTTTAGATTTCAAATAAAGTTTAGTATTGTTCCTTTATTCATTATAGAGATGCTTTTATCTACACTCTTAATTTTGCTTTCCAATTCTTTTGTTTGGAGAAACACCGATCACTACATATACATAAAGAATCTGTACATGCCTGAGGACATGCCAGAAATGATTCTTTCTGAACACATACCAAAAAAGTCATTTTACTGTACCCTACACTTCCCTTCTCTCTTCTCTCTAGCATACAGGCAACTACCTGACCCTCTGGCTCACAAAGTATTTTGTCATTTAATGTGCAGGATCAGTAGTAATACAGTTTAGACTCTTCATGCTTTGGCTTCTCTATTTCTAGATTTTACCTTAAGGCTTAGCCAAGCTGTCAAATAGCCTTGCGATTATAAATGTTGCTGAGAATAGCACATAAATATGATGGACATATAGCCATATGCTGAATAAGTAGATATACTACTTGCTAATTTTGCTATACATTTAACATCTAAGTTATGGACCAGATTCTACTAGTGGGTAACATTAAAAAAAAAAAAAAAGGAATGTTAAGAACTTCCGGTGGTATGTTTCAGCACATAAAATATAGCAAATTCCAGTTCTGTGACAGTAAAGGGTGTGTGGGGGGTTCAGAAAAGAATTTCTCAGCTTCCCAAAAATCCACATACTTTTAGAAAGTTAATGATTGAAAGGACCAATGCAATAATTTATTATGACATCTAACATGAATATGCCTTATTTATTATAGAAATTTATTTTCTACTCTCTATTCCCTTCCCAGAATCATGCTGCTTGCTGTAGCAATATTATCACTCTACTCAGTTCACCTTTTATTAAAGACCGCCAAGGAAGGAGGTATGCTACACCCTAAATCCAAAATGTTCTATCTTGATTCTTGTTGAAGGATCGTTCAGTCTATAGGTCTATAACTAGAGGAGGATTTTAGTCAATTTCACATTTCATTTTCTTCTGACCCCAATGACATGGCCTCTCAATGTTTTTAGTAATTTGGGTATCTAAGAGAAGTGAAAGGCAACTGGCTCAGATTCAAGCCAAATAGGAAATAGGAGTCTTGATGGATGACAGAAATAACAGTTCTGACTTGCTGTGCAGAGCGAAGATGAATGAAGCCATTGCTTCTTGTCTGGAGAACATTTAACATATTTTGTATTGGCTTTTGAGATTGCATCTTTGGGGTTTATGATTCCTATGTGGTGTTTATGTACATATTTGAGACTCCAGTGTACAATTATAGAAATATTTTAGTCATTAAAACAATCTTTTTAAAGCTTTTTTTGTTTTGTTTTGTTTATTTGGTTTTTTTGTTTTTTATTTTTTATTATAGGGTCTTTAATTTATGAAAAACTAGGGGAAAAGGCATTTGGATGGCCCGGGAAAATCGGAGCTTTTGTTTCCATTACGATGCAGAACATTGGAGGTAAGGGCATATAGTTTTACTACTACTTAAACTTTCTAAAAAATGCTCAATAAATCAGAAAACTCTTACGAACAAGCACTTTACATGCAGAAAAACAGCTGGTTTGTATTCAGAAATTTTAAAAATAAGGATTCTTAAGTAGATTTGCTGTCCTTCTTTGAAAATAACAATATCTAAGAAAATACTAAGTAAAATATAGAATAAAAGCTTTCTTGATTTCAAATGCTACTATGGCTTTAATTTAAATGTAAAAAAATTAAGGCGTTAGTGCTTATTCCTGTCATTGACAGAACAGTTGATGTTTCATATGTATGACTGAGTTTATTTCATAAACCTGAAAATAAAGTATGTGAAAGGCAGAGCCAAATATGGGGGATCCTTGAGACAGCCTATAAAGAGTCAGCCCACTGGAGTATCTCCTAAGAAGCTAGGTAGGCACCAGAAGTCTGATAATAAAACCACAAATTCCTTGTTTCTATAAATTCTTAGGATTCCTACTAAATATAATTTTCAGAATAGAACCTATAAATTCACATGTTTAATAGTGTTTCAGGTGATATGTTTCCCCATCAGCTTCACTGGTCCTAATGGAGTCTTTGACCCTCAGAAGGCATCCACACCCACAATTTCTGTGTCCTACTGCCTATGTCCTCTTGCCTGGCCTGGAATCTATCATCACAGAGGGGTGCTTACTTCATCTCCTCCTCTCCAGTCCCCAAACCTGTCATTCTACTCTTCTCTTCTTTCTTCTCTCAGTGAACGAGCAGCATCCAGTTTCTTCGGCCAGAAATTGTGGGTGTAATGTACCATATGTTGGCTAATTGAATTTAAATTAAAAAATGTTTTTTCAAACCCTTGAGTAGAGAATAGACTTTTGGAATCTGATGCACCTAAATTTGAGTGTTTCTGTCACTGTCTGTGACTTAACTCCTCTGAGCCTATTTTTTCCATCTATTGAAAATGAAATATTCCATTTCACAAGGTCATTGTAAAGATGAAATCAGATAACATATGGCACATAATAAGGGTTCAGTACATCCTTTCCACCCCAGTTCTCGGATTCAATGTCTCTAGAGCCGTACTGATTATTTTTTAAATGGACATTTTGATAATTATAAGGCAAATATATGCTAATTGTGAAAACCTAAAGCATTACATAAATACATATATTATAAAGAAATGTTTATGTAAGTCACCATTAGAAATAACTACTCCAAGGTTTTCCTCTATGCAAAATTTAATAAGTATATTGTTACTGATAAAATTGGATCATTTTATAATACCGATTTGCAGCTTCCTTTTTTTTTTTTTGACAATATGCCTTGAATGAATTTGCATATTATTCTTTTAAATAGCTTTTTGGATTTTCCGTTGTACAAATGTACCATAATGGGTTTACTGAATCCCTATTGATGTTGGATTGTTTCCAGTTTTTCACTATTACTAACAATTGCTGCAATAAATAAATTTATACAGAGATCTTGCAAAGAGGTAACCCTTCTTAAATAAAATCACTGGAGCTATCTAGGATTGCTGGAATGCGGCAATTCTTTTAATAACCTTATCCAACCATACCCGTTCCTGCAAATGGTTGGTAAGCAGATAAATACAAATCATTAAGATATGCCTGGATTTTATTAATTTATTTCCACGTTTGTATATATTAAGACTATAGGCCCACGTAGAATTTGACAGTAATACCAGGATTGCTTCATACATTTTACTGGTTTGGGTCCACAAGCTTATAAGGTCTCCATCCCCCATCAAATAGACTGCTTTACATTTGGTTCATCTTCAGTCTTTTCAAGACTTAAAAATGTCAGGCATTTAATAGGATCACCTCATAGCTGATCTAATTTATTTGTTTGGGTACCTGAAATAACTGGACATGCACAGAGTTAGCCCTAGACCCAATGAGCTGAAGGGCAACAGCACCGTCTGTTGCTCAAAGTGCAGCTTCCATTATGCTTCTAAAAAATGGAGTGAACTATAATATGGTCTCTCAATCAAGATGCACACACATGAAGGAAATATGGCTTTAAGGGAATAAAACAAAATTTCATATACCATTCCTAAAAATGTTCTCACTTTGGTTATTCTATGTGATTAGTAGCTATATTAGCCTGAGAGAAATCACTTGTATTTCTGTATTTAGCAACTCCACATTTAGAACGTTTAATTTTCTCAATCCCCTGAAAAATTAACATTTACCACAGATGTTTCAACATTAGCAGAATAATGTTGACATTACCCAGACAGGCCCGGATCATTCTAAATTTTCGAAGACCAAACACATTAACAGTGGTGACATCACTGAAAGTCAGCAATTAATAGCTCTAAAATTGAATGGTACCTCACTGAGCCAGTTAATCAGAAATATCTCCTCTGTTTGCGCTCTGTAAGATTTAGCTTTAGCCAAGGTCTTTGTAAAGATTAACCAAATAATATTTACAGAAGACACATCAGGTATTGTAAAAATCATTTCACTTCACAATAGAGAGGAAACACTGGCCTTATATTTTGGATGTGGTCTGTTGTTTTCAATCTGTGAGATCTTGGACATGTCATGTAAGCTTTCAAATCTTTATATCCTCAGCTGTGGAATGAAAATAACCTACATCTTGCTGTTTTTACGTGGCTTTTCAGCTGATCAAATGGACTAGTCTGCACGACTAAACAATCTAGGGAATTGTCATCACTCTTATTACTATTGTTGGAGGTTAAAGAAATACTTCGAAACTATTAATAGTACAATTTGCAACTTAGCTGCTTTCCATGCCTATGAGCAAAAATTCACTAGACGCATATAGCACGCACTTAAACATTGCAATGCAAAACTTGTCAGTTGTATTTTTAATTTAAATCAATAAAATGAATTTTATTTTTAACTCACTGGACCATGGGTCAAATTTGCATTATACTTCACAGCATGGATAGACTTGGGGAAAGAGGTGTTGCATAAATCCCTACAACTTCAGGCAACATTCATTATATGTTATGAATATGCGTACATACTCATTTTCCCAGGGAGAGGGTTTTATACATTATATCAGCAGATTTTCAGAAGAGTACATGATCACACATCTATCACTTATGTAGATGCTCAAGAACTTTTGCCTTGTTGTATAATTTCTTATTTGGTCAAAGGGAGACTGGGATATAGAGAAAACAAATTCACTGACCAAGGTGGGAGAAGATGGCATCTCTCACATTCTTTTATCAACCCACTCAGCCTCCAGTTTAGATGATCAGTGCTCTGAGGCTTTGCATGCCCCTCAGGGAGGGTAAACACAGAGGACTAGACTAGCGCCCTCCTGGGGAAGCCAGAGTGGCACACAGTCTACAGGGCACCAGCCTGCAGTTCCGGCCTCTCTCCTCTGGCCCAAGCCTTTTGTTGCCAGCCCCCTGCCCAAGTGATGGATCCTAAAACAGGCGCTCAGTACAGGCCATGATGACTTATAACTAATTAGGGGGAAACTTTGAAAGAGCAACTTCACTGAAAACCTCAGAGCTGGATTAAAAACAGAATCAGCATTGATACTGTTAGCAGAGGTCCATGTGCAAGAGGGCCAAATATCTATTTTTGAAAAGAACTTGGAAGCAGTACAAAATACACTGGTGGCTTTTCTTTCCGTTTGGGGGATTAGATGCTCATCTTACCAGAAGACTGAATGTCCCAAATGCCGGGACTTCTCACAACTTGCCTGTGACTTTAGTGCTATTTACACCACTAAGCTATCACGTTTTCCATTTTAGCAATGTCGAGCTACCTCTTTATCATTAAATATGAACTACCTGAAGTAATCAGAGCATTCATGGGACTTGAAGAAAATACTGGGTATGTCTTATGTCCCCTCTGTAACATCTGTTAACTCGTTCTACTTGGTCTTTTCCGATCCTGATTTTTTTTTTTTTGAGAGTGAGGGGTGGGGGGTGCACGGCAGAGGGAAAGGGAGAGAATCTTAAGCAGGTTCCACACCCACTGCGGAGCCCAAAGCAGGGCTTGGTCTCACAACCCTGAGATCATGAATCAAATGTCTTACACTTAACCGACCAAGCCACCCAGGCGCACCCTAATATCCTTGCCACTCTTTCTCTTTCAGAGAATGGTACCTCAATGGCAACTACCTCGTCATATTTGTGTCTCTTGGAATCATTCTTCCACTTTCTCTCCTTAAAAATTTAGGTAAAGTCATTTTTAATTTTTATTTTAATCTCATATTCTAAAAGGTAAGCTAATTGTAGATACCGTATTCACCTTCCAGAATTTCTCTGCTAACTTTTAGGTTACCTTGGTTATACCAGTGGATTTTCTCTTACCTGCATGGTGTTTTTTGTCAGTGTGGTAAGTGATTTATTGACACGATCCCTGTAGGTTGGTGAGCATGAGACACTTAGTCCCTGAATTAGTGTCCTCATTTTTATTCAAGTACTTCACTAGCATGAAATATTTCTTGCATCACAAGCCATTTTCTTATATTCTAATTTGGAATGAGGAAAGGACAGTCATGAGTTTAAAAATAGTTGAGTTAGAATGTCAAGGCCATAGCTAATAGCATGTTCTGAGCACACTGGATGTATATTTGGACAAAAGGAATCCTTCAAGCAGTAATGTCACAACGACTTAACATTTAGAAAGGTGGAGGAGGAAGTGAAGAGTCCCAGAAGAGAAATGAGTAGGCTATAGAATTATCCATATCTACATCAATCTGCCATTTTCTCCTGCACATTCCACCCATGAAAAGAGAGTGACCCCAGTGGAATTAAAAGAGAAATCCTTCTCCCCACAGCCCCCACTCTCTACCAAAAGGGAGTTTTCTTTTTTGTAATATCATGGATGCCAAAATGTATACAGCATTTCCCCAAAAAGGCAAAAGAAGAGAGGAGAATTTTTGATAACCCACATTATATTAGTTTGAAGAACTAAAAGATATGACATGTAAGGAAATGATCATCTTTCTCAGAAGAATATGAACGATGCTTAGGATGGGTTCATGCAAAATACTGCTCTGTTGACTCTCAGGAGCAACCACCGTTCCAAGTCTTTCCTTAGAGCAGAAGCTAGAGGGAGGCTCCATTTTCCCTTAGTCTAAAGGAATCCTCAGCAGAGGCCCCTCACCTCTAACACATAAATCACATATATGGATTTTTGTTTCACTGTTTTCTTTAAAAGGCTGATGGTTCTTTCTTTCTTTCTTTCTTTCTTTCTTTCTTTCTTTCTTTCTTTTTTTTTTTTTTAATGACTGGGCCTAGGTGATTTACAAGAAATTCCAAATACCCTGCCCTCTGCCCGTTCTGGATCACAATGTTGGAAATCTGACATTCAACAATACCCTTCCAGTGCACATGGTAATGTTACCTAACAACTCTGAGAGTAGTGGTGTGAACTTCATGATGGATTACACCCACCAGAATCCTGCAGGGCTAGATGAGAACCAGGCCAAGGGCTCTCTTCATGGCAGTGGAGTAGAGTATGAAGCCCACAGTGATGACAAGTGCCAACCCAAATACTTTGTATTCAACTCCCGGGTGAGTGATGAGCCTAATATATAGCTGAATCTTTATTTTATAAGTTGAGATGGTTTGGGATTGTCATCTGTGTCAGAATGCTACACAGGTGTTGCTACCTTTGTTTTTCAGACGGCCTACGCAATCCCTATCCTAGCATTTGCTTTTGTGTGCCACCCCGAGGTCCTACCCATCTACAGTGAACTTAAAGAGTAAGGCAACCATCATCTTAGCATTTTAATTTGTTTTGCAAATATGCTCATGTGTTCAAAGGTGCTTTATACAGAAGCACGGTTAATGGTTTTTCTCTTCACTGGACGTTTGTGGTACATATCACTCATCAGTAATGTACTTTAACCAAAAAGTGTGAGTCACCCCCTTCACTGCACTACCTTATCTGCTTCCTTCACTCCTAGTTCTCCACCTAATGGTCCACAAGAGGGGTTTCGGGCAGGAGGAGGAAGAGCCAATGGCTAGAAGAATTTTGGCTGGCATGAGGAATTTGAATTTGAATTTCGCTGGGAATGATGTCACCTCAACAGGAAATGACCACACCCATGAAGACCAAAAATTATGGTTAAGGTGGCCTTGCTAAGCCATTGATGTCACTTGTGGTCAGTCCCTAACCTTGTCTAGAAGACATTCACCACGGGATGTGCCAAAATCTGGCCTTCATTGTCTTATCTGTACAATGGAAACACTGGCTAGACAATCTTGTTTCTTTTAGCTGAAATTCTATGATTCATTAAGTCTTTTCCCTTTGAGGCTGTTGACATATACTTAGGTATGAAGTACGCCTGAGCCCATTACCACAGTTTTTCCCTTTACGTTTAGAGAAGGGTGTCCTATAATAATTCCCAATTTATTTAGCCCAGAAATCAATGACCCCACTCTTTATTATCCATAAATAGTGATAACTTGTTTCATAAATTCTGATTTACCTTATAAGAAATTTTTGGAATACTTTCAATTATTTTGATGTCTTTGGTTTACTTGGAAAATCACAATGTAGCAGTTACTCTATGCTTGGTTTTAGCCAAAGATCAAGAAGTGATAGCAGCCATTTCTGGGGCCTGATAATTGACTTTAAGCATCTGGGTGCCCTCCAGAATGGTTTCCAGAAGCTGTCCAGGCTTCCTGGTAGTCTGGACTCATGAAAGCTATGTTTTGCTGATTCTAGTAGGTTTGTATCCTCAGTAAACCCATCTAACTATGAAATATGAAAGCTTTCTACAGTGGGAGTCAGTTTGATCTTTATCTTAATTACATTCTTGAATACTCAGTAGACAAGTATATTTATGAACACAAAATAAACTAGTCTTCTAGGAAAATGGTTGTCTCTAAGACTAAAGGAGTAGTGTTTAAGAAATATGGAAATGGGGTGCCTGAGTGCCTTAGTTGGTTAAGCATCCAACTCTTGATTTTAGCTCAGGTCATGATCTCAGGGTCATGAGATTGACCCCTGCATCAGGCTCTACACTCAGCACGGGAGTCTGCTTGAGATTCTCTCTTGCCCACTCCCTCTGCTCCTTTCTCAGCATGTGTTCTTTCTCTCTCTCTCAAATAAATACATCAAAAAAAAAAAAAAAAGGAAAAATGGAAACAAATCCTCCACAGCTCTCTCATACAAATCTAAATAAACTATGTTTCTGTACCAGAAATGTGGGTTTATAATAGCAACACAGGCTTACATTCTTTCACTATTTTTTTAAAATTGAATTATAAAAAGTGATACTTTCACAAGTTAAAAAAAAAAAGACATAAAGCTTGGTGTTTTCTTTTCAGTCGGTCCCGGAGGAAGATGCAAACAGTGTCAAATATTTCCATCACGGGGATGCTCATCATGTACCTGCTTGCTGCCCTCTTTGGTTACCTAACCTTCTATGGTAGGTCACTCTGTCAGTCATTTTCTTTGTGCAAATCCTAGTAGGACTGATCATTAACCCAAGTAGGTATAATTCTTTTAATTGCCCTCTATAAGCAGCATGATCTATAATATAATCAATTAACATGCTATTTTAGTCTTGTCACTGTGATCTATGGAAATGGAACCTAAACTAGACTGGCTAACAAGTTACAACAATTTGTGAATTCACGCATATTTATAAAAATCAGCCTATTATTTTCCCTAAAGGATAGATTATATTTCTTTCACTTGACTCCCTAGGCCATCTCAAGCTAGAAGCAATGACAATGAGTCCAATCGTGTACTGTGAAACTCTTGATAGAATAACTAGCTACCAAGCAAGTGGTAGGAAAAGTACAAAGTCTTGGAGTTGGAACCTGCTTTTGTTGACCAGTCCAGTGGAATCTGGGGGCTTGGAGCACTAGGCGAATTTTCTGGCTTATCCCATTCTATTCTGACAGTGAATGGTTTCCTGGAAAAGAAGACAATGCAGAATGCCTTTCAATCTGGGAATGTACTAGCAAAAACAAAGGAAGGTGACTATGGACACATTAGATTATACCTAAAACAATTTCTCTGTGACATCTTAATGGACACACAAAAAAATAGGATTGCTACCGCCTTTCATGAAGCATGGCCCTATAGATATATTTCAGGGACTCTAACATTGACCTGTTGCTGCTAATTGATGTTAGCAACATAGACAGATATTTCATATAAAGCTCTCTAACTTTTTAGTTTAGTTTTTTTTTTCCCCCTGATGCAGTAAATTTAATTGATTGCATGACAAATTGTGGAGGAAAAGACTGGGGAGGAGTCACCATTTACCTGGGTTTTTCTCTGTTTGGCTAATACTTGGCTATTAACCAACATTCACTTTAGATTGGGCATTAACTTTGTTGGATTGTGAATTAATAAAAGTCAGATCAGTACCAGTGAAGGTATTTTTATCCCCCTTTGTCTGCTCTGGAGGGGAGTAAAAAGAAAAAAAATCAAACTACATCTGATTCTATAAGCATCTCCATGTCATCTGTGTCTGGAATTCTGAATGAATAAGATTTCTAGGTGGGTGGCATCTTAATCTTAGATCAATAGTCATTGGGAGACCCTGTAAAAAATCATGCTAATTCATCTTTGCATGTTACTTATGCTGACTCTAATAGGTTTCATAAGTCAAACAAAAGCTTGAAAAAAATCCCCAAAAGAGGCATTTGGGTGGCTCAGATGGTTAAGGGTTTGCCTTTGGCTCAGGTCATGATCCAGGTCTTAGAATTAAGCCCCACATTGGGCTACCAGCTCAGCAGGGAGTCTGCTTCTCCCTCTCCCTCTCCCCCTGCTTTTGCTCCCTTTGTCTTTCTCTCTCAAATGAATAAATAAAAACTCTTTTTAAAAATATCCCCAGAAGTACGTGTATCAGCGTCATGATAGAGTCATAATTGTTGAACTTGAAAAAATGTTAGGAGTTCATTTGTCCTAAGGTTTCCGTACGAGGTTCAGAGGAGCTATGTCAATATGTCAAGACTCACTTGGCAGGTGGGAGTGGAGGGGGGTTGGCAGGATGTGAGGGACAGGCTGGTGGGGCTTGGGCCTTTCATCCCCTTCAACCAAAGCACCTCAGCCTGTCACCTCTTTTGTGAGGCTTCCAAATAGCAGAGATGGACTTCTCACGAAGCAAATGAGCTAGAGTCACCTTCATAATTTTATCCTAGTTTCTGCAACTTTATAAGCTTCAGGGTTCCTTTGTTCATTTGAAGAAAGGTCACACAACTAACTACTAAGCTCAGAGACAGGATTAAAACAGATGTCTAGATTCCCACACCTGGGTTTTTATTTTTTTCATCCCATCGTACTATGTTCCTTTTCTAAAATGTTGCTGTTGTTATTGACTTGACAATGGCAAGTGAACCCATTCTCTTTTTCCTCTTTGTAGGAGAAGTTGAAGATGAATTACTGCATGCTTACAGCAAAGTATACACATTTGACACCCCTCTCCTCATGGTACGCCTGGCGGTCCTTGTGGCAGTGACATTAACAGTGCCCATTGTCCTGTTCCCAGTAAGTACCTGAAGTTTTGATGAAAGAATCCTGCTTAACCTCTTAAATTAGTACATATGTTCTGATTTGATGTGGATTTAATTATAATGTGACTTTGCAATCGCAATGCGTGAAGACGTTATTTTTGTATAGCACTGTGGAGCCATTTAAAATGGATAATTTAATATGTAGCTACAACAAATACTCTTAGATGTTAAACACTTTTAAAATCTAGGGGGCAAAAAGTCACAAAGTATATTTCTATATTTTCCAGCTTTATTGAGATGAAAATTCATTGTTAAGCTCAAATTCGAAAAGCGGATCCTGGGTTTCTATCTTGTGGGTTAGTAGAAATGAGTAGGATTTCACAGAGCTACTGAAACTTGAAAGCAAAACTACATTACTTTTCAATTCATTGCATTTTCACCAGTTTTGAAGGTATTTAATTCCCCCCACCCTTGGTTTGTTGAGTTGCAGTGACACTCAAAAGTCACTTAATCTGATTCCTTGAAAACCAATGAGAAGGGGAATCCTCTTAAGGAAATTACATGCTAGAGCTAAATTTCTTGAAAAACAGTTATATTATCCATCATATATCTTTTCTACGATCCCTAAAACTGATATACGCTCTACCAGACTCATACTGGGATCTCCCCTTCTTGGCATTTGCCTTTGGCGTCACTTGTTCTGGGATCACAGAGCAGGGCTGGTTGAAGAGATTTGGGCCGCGTGAGTTAAAACCACCACCTATGGATAAACACAGGTCTACCTTCTCCTGCCAACTCTTCTCCTTTCATAAACACTGAATTTACTCATTCATTTTAGGGGGGAAAATAAGCGACATGGTAACCAGCACCAGCCTGTACAGAATGTTCCATACAGGGCCCAGCATGTGAGGACTACTCCTATAATGACACTGTGGTCACTTTAAATGCAGCTTGTGTGCCAAAATATTTTTTGACACATTCCTTTTCCATGAGTGCATGAAATCAGATCCTTATTACCAGGAGGACTAATATTTTACTCTTAAATAATATCTTGCCTCTCATATGTCTCCAAGTATTTCAAATGACATGCACACAGCTTTAGCCTAAAATCAGCTCCATCGTGGGTACAAGGCACAAGACAGCTGTAGACAGAAAGCGAACCATAGGGTAAAATTTCCAAGCAAACAGTGTCTCTGAGGAAAGAATGTTGAAAGCCCCTTTTTTCTGTGTAAAGATATCACTCATTAATTTTTGGCGCACAATATGCACTCACATCATTATTGAATCAAAGTAATTTATAAAAGAAATCTGTTACGTGCTTCTGTATTGTTTTATTCATAAACCCTAAATATAGCGCTTTCATGTTGTGATCTCAGGAGATTAATGGACTTGGCCGTGGTCTTGTAGTTAGTCAGTCACAGTTGACTCATGCAGTGCTCACAGCAGGACACTGATGGCTGGGGTCAAGATAATGGGAAGTGGAAGTTAGCCTTTCATTTACTGATGGTAATTTCACTTCAACATTTAAAACCTAGATCTCCCCATAGAAGTTCTTTCTCTCATGACAATTAAGACACTGGTATAACTATCAGGAAACATCTCCCATTTGATGGCCCTTAGTATCAAAACTGACTATGAGGACCAAATTTCAGAAAAACTATTTGTTATCCTTAACAGTTTTTTTCACCCGACATTAGCATTTATGAAACATTTGCACATAATTCTGTCTTTGACCTTACAATGTTACATTGAGATGAACTGTGTAAGGGTCCACCTTCTCCCCTGGGTTAAAAGTCCTGGAGGTTAGGGATGTGCATGGTGACTGGCTCAGGAGATCAACAATGGTTGCCAAGAGAAATGGTCTCCGAATGAATCTTGCCTATTCTTGGGAGGACAAACTGCCTTTTTCTGGCAAAAGCACAGGCTGTTCCCCTTGAACATTTGCCATGAACTTCAGTTTGGGTGAGGATCTGGGCTAAATGAACCAAGCCGCCATGGGTATGATGGAGGACATAAAAGTGAACATGGAGGAGAAAAAAGCCTCCTTGCCCCAGTCAAAACCACAAGGCTGCCTTCAAACACTTTTCCCCCTAAGGTGAGAGAAGTTATTAGTGGCGTTTTTGTTCCTTATGATTTACAGCCACATTTTCAACATGCCCACCACTGAGTCACGCACAGCAGGGTTCTCCCGGTGGTTTCTTTGAATTAAGAAACTCTTGACCAATAAGAAGTTTATTTACTTTGCTTTGACATCCCCACATACCAATAATAAAAAAAATAAAAATAAAACCTAATCTATTAGGATTAAAACCTCTCAAGTTTAGGAATAATTTTATATTCTACCTCTTTCAACAAATGTCAAGTGTCTCTTTTTCTTAGAAGTCCAAGAAGATACGACAAGGGTGTTGCTGTTCTTGGGTGGTTGGATGGATTTTCCTTTGATGATTCCATTTATTTTCTTTATTTTCTCCAGTTAGGTCAGTGTTTCCCTTCTTAATAAAAGACACATATTGAGTGCGAAAATGATTATCAAACAAATGAATAAATGAAGTGAATTACTTTTTCACTCGTATCCCAACATTTCTGTTTCCATCGTTGGGGTGGGGTGGTACAGGCAGGCCTGTCCATTACGGTGCTGCACGTCCTTCCCAAAGACTATTAATACCATTTTCAGCTTGTACTTCCCTTTATGCAGTAAAGTTCACACATCACCATGAAAAACAGAAAACCAGATAATCCTAATGAGTTTATCAAGAACACCGACTCACATTCCATTTGCCACATCTTAAAAAAACCTAAAGATCACATCTCAGATTCTCTAGCTGCTTCTATTTTATCTTCTGATAGTGAAATCATTCTTTACGTTTATGCTGCCTTCAGACCCCCTGTTAGATATAGACATAGAAATATGGCAGATGTTGCCATGGACTGGAATAGAGTAGTGATCCCCAGATACTCCAGTGATCCGCAGATATTTCCAACACTCTTGTCCTAAGCAATCTTAGAAAGTGAAGCTGTGATTCACTTCTAAACAATAGGATTGATTTTTTTTTAAGAGTTCAGACCTAAAGTTCCCTCTTCTACTCTGCCCCTCATTGGGTCCCCAGAGTAGAACATACCTGCCCCCCCCCCCCCAACAGATTCCTATTCCAAACACTCTCTCTGTAAATAACAGATGTTTTTTTCTAGAGCTGCCCAGGACCTTTCCAGAATCATACTGGGTCAGAGGCCATGGCTGTTGCTATGGACTTCCTCCCCCCTCCATGCACAGCATCTGACCCACATTTCCAGGTTCTTATCAGTTTGTGTCAGTAGAGAAAAGGCACTTAGATAAGTGGAACAGGAGGCAGTGCTTTGTGGGTAACAGGGTGACATAGGGTAAACAGAACTGCTGCGGACCTATTGATCCAGGCTCACCTCCCAAGGTGGCATTTTAACATAGAATGACCAGCAGTTTTCTTCTACTCCTTTCCACCACCGCCTCCACCAGCAGCAGCCTGCTCTCTCCCTGTGGGCCCTCTTATCCTTCCTAGGAATGCACTGGCAATTCCGTATGCCTTCAGTTCTGTTTGGGATTTTGTTATTCTTTATTTGCTATGAGTAGCAAGTTTTCACCATTCCTTCTGACCTCAATTCCTGTAAACCTTCTGTACTCTTACATCATCAGGCCAAACCTCGGTCTTTCTGGGAGCCATGAGACCTTAGCAAACTGCATTCACTCTCAGGGACGCTGTACGAATAGGTTTACCTCTAACTCAACCTATTGAATAAAGAGTATTATTTTAACAAAAGGCAAAATCCCATACGTATCACCTCTGCCTGTTAATAACCTGCATCCTACTTGTTCGCTCTATAAATTTAGCACTTTCAGACAAACAAATCCTTAAGCCATGTGGATGTGCCAGAGAAAGCTCATTTTTAAGCCTAATAAGACCAGTTTGGACAATATTGAGGAAGCACGAACTGTGGATCATTATGTAGAATGTATGGGCAGCTGGGGGAAATGTAATCAAACCATTTGCTTTCTTCAAGCCTACTTTTCAGAGCGAGTTTCATAATTTTCACTAATCCAATTTTTAAAATCCTTTACAAAGTCACCCTTAAACCATTTCCAGAGACTATCTGGTTTGCCATTCTGGAAATGAAATTGCTTTTGAAACCTAAACAGATGGCTTTAATTTCGAGGGGAGTGGTATGAAAGGAATGTCACATTAGACACTGTAAGCAATCCGGCTCAAGTTTTTGTCGTTCCTACATGTGTTTCTAACTGTATTTTACATTTTCTGTCTTAAATGAGTTCCCATCTCTCCACCAGTTAGAGTCTTCAGAAGTAAAATTTTAAGTGAAAAATCAATTCCAGCATTTCTAAGAATGTGAAGTCCTAGCCTACCTAAAGTGCTCATTTATTGAAAAGCCAAGAGACTAATTCCACTAAGTCAAAAAGTATCCTCTAAAAGATTCCAAAGATAAGAGTATTTTCTACTTTGTTAAGCTGTTCAAACATGCAGGGCATTCCCTCTGCCCACAAGGATCTTTTGATCCGGTTACAGCACAGTAACTTGAAAGGCTGCTACAGATGGAGCCTCTCTTGACTCTTCACCTACTTATTGTAGCTCCTGAAATAGGGCTGAAGTCTATAAGGCTCCTGAAGGGAGGGAAGGGGTTTGTTCCGTTCAGTTTGATTCAACATTTATTGAGTGCCTGCTGCGTGCAAGACACCGAACTGGAAACTTTAAAGAATGTTAAAACTATTAGGTCCTACTCTTTGCTTCTTGTACATTTATAATCTAGAATTGGGAAGAGGGGAGGGAAAAGGGAAAAAAAGAGAGAGGAGTAAATACCAAGAATACCATCTTTTAAAAAAACATCATGTGGCAAAAATGCTAAATACAATGAATGCCAAGTTTTAAAAAAAACAGATTTGTAAAAATTCTGTTCATGAGCAGGATATAAATCAATGCAATGCCTGCCCTTAATACTTAATCCCGTCTAAAAGACGTGTTTAGGAATCAACAAGGATCTTACCCTGAATTCTGTGTCTTACCTGTTATTTTATATCTTTCTGAGACAATTTTGAAGAAAAAAAATCTGAAAGCTGAGGTGAGCACAAGGAAAATACCCTCTCAAACGAATGTCAGAATCAAGTATTCTGTATTGTAATATATTAATATTACTGTACTTAACCAACGTGTACCCTTAAAAATGGGTAAGATGGTAAATGTTATGTATATTTTGCCACGGTACTGAAAGTTTGAAAGATAAATCAGCGTCGAGATATTTTCTGGGAGGAAAAGGAAAAAACACAGAAGATGCTTTAGAGTGACAAGGATATCTGAAATTGTAGTTAAAATCAACTTTGAACTTTCTTGTTGCAGATTCGTACATCAGTGACCACACTCTTATTTCCCAAAAGACCCTTCAGTTGGATAAGACATTTCTTAATTGCAGCCATACTTCTTGCACTCAATAATGTTCTGGTCATCCTCGTGCCAACTATAAAATACATCTTTGGATTCATAGGTAAGTTTGAGTAAAGCTTTTATTTAGTCAACTCAAGCTGATACCTCCTTAAATGGCAGACAGGGAGCTGGTGGATGGGAGGGCAAGGATCCCTGGTCCATCTTAGGCTCATGGGATTCTTATTAGTCCAACAGGACTCCAGCTGGCCACCTCCCCTCCCTTGCGGGTGACTCGGGAAGTTATTCATAGGATCAGAAAAAAACCTTAGAGGTCATCTAGTCCAGCTGCCTTTTCTGACAGATGAGGAAATTGAGCCCACAGAAGTCATCTACAGCTTCTCCACCATCCCCCATCCAAAAGTCGAGCATTCCTATGAGACCTTTTGTAAGCCTAAAAGGCATAAACCAAAGCAATTTACCATCCATTTATATGGGAAAATATTTGAGCATCCCAGACATAAAAAAATAAACTCCTTGGGCTTTCCTGATACCTTAGGATACGTATTGGTAACAAATGCAGAAAATACATGGAGATAAAACACAGATATTCAGACATCGTTCAAAAGCTATGACAGCTTACTGCTGAGTTGGAGGGCAGCTCCCAGGCAAAGAATCTGGTGACTCACTCTCACAGCTCAGGGTGGGCTCCCCTCTGTTCATGCTCACCGTGCAGCAAATTCTGAATGCTATTTTCACTTGTTGCCCCTTTTTTTTTTTTTTTGAAAGGCAAAAATCCTCCTCAGATTCCAATTAGCAAAAATAGGTACTAATCTAGGTCTTCCCCAAAGCAAACTGGCATAACATGAACTTTCAGAATTGGAGAATATCAGTGACTTGGAATAGATCTGTGACTTAGATTTAGGTCTTAAATCCGAATCAGAAAGTGAGGAAGATAGATTTTACCCTCAGGATGCTTCCTCAAGTCTGTCAGGATCTGCTGAGCATTGACGGCCACCTTTGGAGGTGAAGGAGATTGGTCTCATAAAGCATATCCTCCTGACTGTGTAGCCTAATAATTTAGTATTCATCTCCTGATTTGAGGGATTACTCAAATATTAAATATACTATAAAATTTTTTAAAGATTAGGTGTAAGCAACTTGGAAAGTTTAAAGTGGATAAGAAGGGTGTGTGATGAGTTCAGCTTCCTTAATGGGTGTTATATTTTCAATTTTCTATGAATTGTTAATAGGCAACCTTTTTTGTTATTTATTATTTGCTATGTGCACGTGCTATACAACTGTGATGTTAGGGATATTTTAATTTTCTTATAAACATATCTTCTTTGCATAAGCAACCAAGATGAGTGAATATATAGTAGTTTTAGTGCAAAGATTAGAGGAATGATAGATTTAGTTTCTTTTTGTTTTTTTAAGATTTTATTTACTTATTTATGAGAGATTCAGAGAGAAAGGCAGAGACATAGACAGAGAGAGAAGCAGCCTCCCTGTAGAGAGCCCGACCCGGAACTCGATCCCAGGGACTCCAGAATCATGACCTGAGTCAAAGGCAGATGCTCAACCACTGAGCCACCCAGGTGCCCTGGATTTGGTTCTTTAAAGTGCAAGACCTTGAGTCTCTGCCTTGCTGAAAAAGACATTGACCTGTCCTGTGCTTCTCTCCTCAGGGGCTTCTTCTGCCACTATGCTGATCTTCATTCTTCCAGCAGTGTTTTATCTTAAACTTGTCAAGAAAGAACCTTTCAGGTCACCACAGAAGGTTGGGGTAAGTAAGGTTTGCAATTCACCCCATTATAAGTTGCTCTTCGGCTACTTACAGTAAAGCAGAAAATACACGTGATTCAAAAAATTGATGAACAAGAGCCAAACATCAGAGATTAGCTGGAACTGTAATGGAGAGAAACAGGGGTGGATTTCGGGTACGGTGAGGATTCCTGGATTTCTTCCTTTCATACTGTCAAAGATCTCGTGTTGAGTTCTTTCTATTTGCCCAACACTAATGGAGTTTTCCGCAGGCATGCATGTATACCAGTTTCCACCACCAAGACCACAGCACTGTCTATGGGAAATTTTGTGGGAAGGTATTAGGCTCCCTGGCAGTGTTAAGAAATAATTTAAACACTTTAGTCATATCCGTTAGGTGTGTAAGGCCAAAAGAAAAGATGCTGCTTTGTTTCCCCCTCCATAATACCCTGGTGTGGACGGAGATCCAGGACAGAACCATTCCTTTTCCAGTTGACCTCTCTAGATACAAAATATAATCTTATTAAACTAGAGCATAGTTATTTTCCAAAATGATTCTATGGAAACATATGCCAGAAATAATTGTTTTTCTGATAATTATTATCAATGACTTTTTAATAAAGTCTGACACCTAATGCTTAAAAGCAATGCCTCTTGACGAGTTACACTGAATTTTTCTGGAGAGTCATTCATCCCTCAAGGCTGTTCAGGGACTTCAGGACAACTTGGTATCAAAAGCTCCTCCCATCATCTCACCCCCGAATTCCTACCCTCTTTGGTCCATCTTGCTCGGACTGCAGTGTGACCTTGGCAAATTACTAGCCCTGTTTGTGACCCATTCTGAGTTTGACCAGATATAAAAATGAGTACAATTCTCTCCTAGATCCTTTCTAGTGAAAAAAAAATTTTTAGCTGTTGTTCCCTCATAAATAGAATGAGGAGGTTGAACTAAGTGGTAATATATAAGGCCTCTTCTGGTGTGTGTACACACACACACACACACACATACACACGCTTTTTAAAAGAAATGTACAACATAGATTAGGCTTTTGTTCTTATTTGTTTGCTTTATAAAATTTAATCCTATTAAATATACTATGATATGCCCTTTTAGGACCGGTCCTTTTTCACCTAAAACATTGCGAGTACACTCAATATCATTAGATCTTTTCTGTCACTTGATTTTTACAGGATTATAGGATATTCCATCATTTCAATGTATCAAATCAACCATTTCTTGGGTTCTAAAGTCACTGAACTGCTAGGAACAGACATCTGAGCTAAAAGCATAATACGATTCAACATGCCAATCAGATTGCTGCCCAGTTGTTATAAGTAAACAACTTATAAGAGCAAACCGTGCTAAACATGGTTTCTGTGTCCCCTAACAAGTTCTCTCTGACTTACAGGCTTTAATTTTCCTTGTGGTTGGAATCATCTTCATGATTGGAAGCATGGCTCTCATTATAATTGACTGGATTTACAATCCCCCAAATTCCAAGCATCACTAACCCAAGGAAAAATACTTTTTCTATTGGAAATGGTTGCAAATCATGCTGCAAGAGACGTTTGAGTTCTATTGATTGGAATGTTATTCATAGGAAATAACAGGAAGATTCCAAAGATGTTTATAGTAACATCACCAGGCACCTGCGGAAGAGGAAAGGCATCATTTTTGTCAAGAATGGCTGTTTATATGTTTAAAATCTGTGGTGCACATTTCTACCCAGGTTTTCCTAGAGCAGTGTGAGAGGATGTATTTTTGCTGTTGTACAAGCAGAATAAGGGTAGCTGCATGTAATGGTCATCAGATAATACCCTTCCTCCCCCCGTCAAAGTACCAAATACTTGTATTCTGAGAACATCAAACAAAAATGCCCTGGTGGCAAAGCTATCACTGCTTAATGCGTTCCCCCAATCCAGCACCAAATTCTCTGGGTTTATTTAATAACAGAGACAAAAGGCAGGTCTTCTGAACTGTCCATGAATAATCAGACAGCAGGCTAGAACATCTTATTCTCAACAGTAAAGGAATATTTTGCCCATTTTGTTTGTGACGTGGAAATAGTGACTTCTTCCTTCAATAGATTTTTGGTAAATGCTAAAACAGCTTACTAAACACAGGCATACCTCGTTTTATTGTGCTTTGCTTTATTGTGCTCAGCAGATACTGAAGTTTTGTTTTTGTTTTTTTACAAATTGGTTTGCAGCCACCTTGCCTTAAGCACCATTTTTTCCCACAACGTCTGCCCTTTGTGTCTCTGTGTCACATTTTGGTAATTCTCACAGGACTTCGGACTTTTTCATTATTATATTTGTTATGGTGATCTGTGATCAGTGATTAAGACTTGCTGAAAGCTCAGATATGGTTAGCATTTTTTAGCAATAAAGTATTTCAATTAAGGTATGTACATTTTTTTAGACATAATAGTATTACACACTTAGTAGACTATGGTGTAGACATAACTTGTATATGCACCGGGAAACTAAAAAAAAAAAAAATCTATTTGACTTGCTTTATTGTAATGTCTGCTTTATTGTGGTGGTCCGGAACCGTACCTGCGATCTCCGGGGTATGCCTGCATGTCTTATGAACTGTCCCTGTAAGGTACATACATGAATGAACAGACACCAGGCTAGAACACCTTAGTGTCAACAGTAAAGGAATGTTTTGCCCATTCTGTTTGTGACATTGAATGAATGCCTTCTTTGTTCAATATTTTTTTTGATAAACGTTAAAACATCTTACTAAACAGAGAGAGGGGCTTTATTTAAATTATAGAGCAACAACAAAAATAATGCTTATTGCTAAACTGCCTGTTCTGGAAGCATCTGCTTTTCAATATTATTCCTAGTCCTCTTGTCATGCTTTTGTCATTGAACAATGCTCTCCCTCTCGTCTTCCATTGTCATTCAGAATTTTTCGATAGACCACGATTCGTGTGGAGCTACATTACCCAGTATTGTTTGATACATTTTTATTTGATAAACATTCAGTGCAGGAAACTGTGATTGCTTATATGTTTATGTATATAATCTTATTCTGTAGTCATCAGAATTTTAACGTATGGTACATTTGATTTTTATTTTTTACATGTGTAGTTTTCTCTCTTCACAGTCAAAACGTTTATATTATTGAGGGTGGGGCAGGGAATTAAGTTGATGGGCTCAAAAATCCATTCTTATGTATCTGTCTATTAGGAATATTTTAAATTTGAAACCTAAGTTATATATAGTTCAGTAATGCTCTTCAATGTTTACAATGATAACACAATCATCTACAAGAAAATAAGTTATTTGCAAATAATTATCAATACTGAGGTTATTCTTTTAACTTAGCATGTCTAAGATAGGATTTAGTTCATTTTGGCTTGCACGGGAGTATGCTGACATTCATTTGCCATTTAACACTATGTTAAATGGTTCTCCACAAAACCGGAAGTGCTAACACTACAGAGAGAAGCAAACTATTATTCTTGCTCACTTCTACAACATTTACATGAAATGGATTTAAAAACCAGCACTCACTGCCCAGAATTTCTGGAATGTGCCACCTTTTTTTACCCCCAAATCAGTAGCAAGAACATTTATTGCATATTTTTATATTTTAGTATAAAGCCAAGTATGAAATACAACTATCATTTAAGTATAATATTAAATCGTATTTCAATAGTTGCTTTAAAATGTGCCTTAAGAAAATACACATTTGTTTTATGTAGTATTTTCTGGAGGTAATACTGTCAAATGGTGCACTTTGTTATGGAAATTGAGCATTACTAGAAACTATCATAACTTTTGAGTCATTATTATTGGAAATTATTTGCCAAACAGCATCTTCAAGATACGTTTCCATTTACATTCACCTAAAGAGTGTACCAAAATAGAAAGTGGAAAAAGCCACCTTCTATGTGTTTAAAAAAAAAAAAGTTTAATCTGAATGTATTTAAATGTAAATATCAAAGATTAATTTTAAAAATTGGGAAAGCATAAAATCTGTATATATTTTTAATGTTTTACACCTTTGAAATAACCAACTTGAAAATATCAACCTCTGTAATTATACAGATATTCAAGAGCAATACTACAGTGCCAAATAATGAAGCACCATTTCTTTTCTCCTGGCCATTTTCAGGATTAGAGCTCATATAGACTGCAGGGCAGACTTACATATCGTATCTTGTACTGGTTAATTTAACCCCATTTATGAACAGATGAAAATTTTATTTTCTTATTTCATTTATAAGATGGTTCAATGTACTGGGAGGCTTTTTTTATTACAGAAAGTGTATATTGGTATATAATAAATGAACTTTTCAAATGATTATGATTTGAATTTCTTTCTATTCTTGAAGGCTATAAATTATTTGCATGTGAAAAACGTTTTAGGTCTAAATATTGTCTTTTGTCTATTGGTATATGTTCCATTTTCATTGTTACTCTTGACACGTAACTAACATTTATAGCTGTCAAAAAAAATAGTTGCCATCTTATTTTGGCAAAATACGCAGCTAATCTAAGTCATTTCATTTATATCATCACATATTTACCTCCTAGAATGGATGTGGGAAAATGTGTTTCTTTATGGCTAATTAGGGATAATTCACTTGGGATGGAAAGAGAATAGAAGAAATATGAAAATAGTAAAATAAAGACATGGAAGATCTGAAAGAAAGAAAGCAACATGGGAGTGCAGAGGATTGGGTAGAAATCAACAGTTGGTGGGAGAGACAAGACCTGTGCTAAGTGGTGTGTTTGACTTTCTAAGAAACTTCCAGGTAGTTCTCTGAATTGTTTCAACCATTTTCATTTCACTCAGAATATATACGAGCTCCAGTTGTTCCAAAGCTTTGCCAACCCCAGGCATTGTACTTTATAGCCTTTCAAGTGGGTGGGAAATGGTATTTCTTTGTGATTTTCATTTCCATTTTCATTTTCCTGGTGATGAGTATTGAAAATTCTCCATGTGTTTAACGGCCATTCAGGTTTCCTTTTATGAAGTGTGCATTCAAATCCTTCACCCATTTTAAGAATTAGGTTGTTTGTCTTTTTATTGTGGATTTGTCAGTTCCTTATACATTCTGGACACACGTCCTTTGTCAGATGGCAAACACCTTTTTCAATCTATGACATGCCTACTCATTTGCCTAAAGGTATCTTAATTCTATCTTTCTGGGACCTGTCTTTATAGCTTGAGGCTCTGCAATTCCTGTCTTATGGAGATAAAATTAATTAGGATGGTATTGTTATAATTAATGCTAAGATTTTCAAATGTAGAGAGTAAGTTTTCTTTTTCTCTTTTTTGGGGGGGTGAAGGTGGGTAGTATGTTTTCTTGTCTTGTAGTGAGCTTTATTGAATATAGTTCTTGTTTTGTTATAGGTAATTGACTAAGAATAACCTTTGCCTAGTCACTTTGACTCTTGGTTAGGAGACCTAGTACTACTTAGATAGTCCCAGGACATCAAAAACCCTTTCTGGCTGCTTGTAATCAACTTCATTAGTTTTTTCAGCCCTTTCTTATAGGCACATACAGATGAAACAGGAGAAATCACTTCATGTGGTTCTTATTGATCAGCTTGGAAGTCATGCCATTTCCTCTAGATTCTGTGTTTCCATTCACTTGCGGAAGCAGTTTTGCAGAGCCTATGCTTTTATGGCATGTACTCTTGTGACTGTCTTTTCCCAGAAAATATTGGATACTAATTATTCAGTAGACCATACTGAAGAAACTGCCTGGAAAATAAAATCCGTTTAGAGCCTTTCTTCACACCACACACCAAAGTGGACAAACGCAATAAGGAATATAGAAGCAATGGCATTTTAGGAAGAACAACGTGACAGCTGCCTGGGGAAGTAAGACACAGTGGAGGAAATTACAAGGGCAATGATGGACCGTTGATTATATAGCAGTGCATGAAAGAGCAATTAACAAAACACCAACTCCTATAAAATATAGACCAATACATCCTTAATGTATGAATGGATAATGAAAACCAATAAGGGAACTACTAAGAAACTAATAGAAGAATGGGCAATGGACATGAGATCACAGAAGAAAAAAATACATAGTTTGACCTCACTAGGAGTCAAAGACCTGCAAGTAAAAACACAAGTACAGGGACGCCTGGGTGGCTGAACCATTGAGTGTCTGCCTTCAGTTCAGGGCATGATCCCAAAGTCCTGAGATGGAGTCCCGCATTGGGTTTCCTATGGTGAGCCTGCTTCTCCCTCTGCCTGTGTCTCTGCCTTTCTCTCTGTGTGTGCCTCTCATGAATAAATAAAGTCTTAAAAAAAAACTACACAAGTACAATTGTTTTGTCTGTCATGTTACTAAGAAAGAAAAGGTAATCATTTGTGCTGGTGAGGGTAGGGAGCTGAACATTCATTCAATGTTGGTGGCAGAAATCTTGGCCCAGCTTCCCTGGAAACCATGCTGGCAACACTTAAAGACACCTAAGGATGTGTGTAGCCGGCAGAAGAGCTCCTCAAAGATCTAATCAGATGAGCGCTTAAAATCAGAGAACTTTCTTCACCTGAAGTCAGAAAGAGTCAAAGCATGAGAAGGACTCAAACTGCCGCTGGTGGCTTAAAGATAGAAGAGACCATGTGGAAACAGAAGGAAAGGAGTTTTGCCAACTTAAATGAGCCAAGAAAATGGTTCTCCTCCTGAGTCTCCAGCTAGGAGCCCAGAGCACCAACACTTCAATCTGAAGCTCAAGAGACCTTAAGCAAAGTACTCTGCTGAGCCAGCCAGACTTCTGACCTCCAGATCTGTAAATAATAAAGGAGCATTGTTGTAAGCTGCTAAGTTTGTGAAATTTGTTACAGCAATAGAAAACTAGGAAACACAACGTTCATGTCTTTTGATCCACTAACCTTTTTTTTAAAGACTTTATCTATTTAACACAGAGGGAGAGTGAGAGGGAGAAACAGATTCCCCACTGAGCAGGGATCCTGATGCAGGGCTTGATCCCAGGACCCTGAGATCATGAACTGAGCTGAAGACAGATGTTTAACTGACGGAGTCACCCAGGTGTCCCACAATAATTCTTTTCTAAGAATCTATTCCGAGGAAGAAATCAGAGAAGTAAATTTACTTCTGTCTACTAATGTAGTCTTTCACCATATAATGAGCTACATTTTTTAAGCATTCCAAATGTCCAAAAACTGTGGAATGACTGAATAAATTCTAAGACCTTCATAGGCTGGAATAGGACATAGTGATTAAAAATGTTTTTGAATAATCACCAAAAAAAATGAAAAACTATGGTATGACATTAAAGTGGAAAAAAAAACAAAATAAATGCTTTATTATACCAATTTTACATATTAAAAATGCATGGAATAGAAAGATAGGAAATAGGAAGAAAAGGAAATAGACATATATGATAAAAGATATCATAGGTAGCAAGGTAATAAGTGATATTTGTCATTTTCTAAATTTCCTACAGAGATTATGTATTTTTTTATAGTTGTATTTTTTATAGTTGTAAAAAAAGAACTTAGAGAAACATTTTTCTATCACTTTATATTTTCTGGAAAAAATAAAACGTGCTGCCAATTTCTATACATTTTTGTATTTTCAGCTGACTCTAAAGGCAGAATTGGATGAGAGTACAATTCACAATTGGGGAATAGTTATTGGTGACTGAAGCAGAAGTTGGAAGGATGGGGCAGACCCTTGCCAGAGGTTGAACATGAAAAGGACTTAAATAAGATGATATAGCATAGCCAGTAGACCAGGATTTCAGATCCATGGTTTGGGCAAGTCATTTAACTTTATTGAGCTTCAGTTTTTTCATTTCTGTTGGTATAATTTTTGTGTAATGCAATCGCCAAGATGATTTAGATTGTGATAACTGGAAATCAAAGTCCTTATAGCACAGTCATATCTCTACAACAAATGCTTGACAGTCAATAAATCAGAGGTCATTGGGGAGCTCCAAAGCATATCTTGCAACAATGATTTCTGCAGCGTGATCCTTTAAATGAGTTAGAATCAGTCAAATGTTTCTGGGGACTACTCCACCTTGCCACTCAGGTTGAATAAATTAATGGATAAACATTTATTCAATGAAGACCATGTATCAGATACTGTCCTAAGCACAAGAATACAAATTAGTCTTTGTCTATTAAGGAGCTTACAGTATAGAGGAAGGGGCACATGTATACAAATAGTTATAATATAAAATGGAAAATGCTCTACATATACCATATATATCCAAATGCCATGGAGCCTCTAAGGGGAATGCCTAGGTCAAGCTTGGGGAGAGTAGTCAGATTTCTAGCAGCAGATGCCCATTGCGTTGAATTCTAAAGGAGACATTGAAGTTGTCAGGAAAAAAGATGAAGAAGCACAGCAGGATACACAAAAAAAATGATTCCTCCATTGACTTTGCACTCCACACGTACACACCCATATGTATGCATACACTTTTCACATAATCTGTATTAGATTCCTTTTGCTCCTATAACAAATTACCACACACTTAGTAATTTAAAACACATTTCATTATCTTATGAGAAGCTCCAACAGGAATCGGTACAAGCCCCAACAAAATCATAAAGCAAGTAGACCAAATAAAACAACAAAGATTCTTAAAATTAAACTGATTAGTACTACAGTCACAAAGTAGGCCAAGATCTATGTGCCAAATCTAAAGAGTGACCACTTGCTACAATGAGATTTTAATAGAAAATCTCATACACAATTGAAAATCACCCACCATACCGAGAACCAAGAAAATTACAAACTGAACAAGATAATCAACTGACATGAACACGGAGAGGAATTAGATGTTCAAATACCTAGCAAGAATTTTAAAGTAGCCATCTTGAAAATGCTTCAATTATAAATTCTCTTGAACCAAATGAAAAAATAGAACATCCCAGCAAAGAAACTAAAGTTTATAAAAAGAACCAACTGGAAGTTATAAGCTAAAAAATGTAATAACAGAAATTTAAAGAAAAATTCATTGGATGTGCTCAGTAGAATGGAAATGGAGAATAGAATCAACATTCCTAAGTATTAATAGAATCCATCTAATTTGAACAAAAAATAGGAAAGAGACTAGAAAAGGAAAGAATAGAACAGAACTGGGCTCTAGACCCATGGGACAAAAACAAAGTCAACATTTATATTATCAGAGTCCCAGAAGGAAAAGAGATGGATTAAAGCTAAAAGACAATTTGAAGAAATAATGGCTGAGAACTTCCCAAATTTGTTGAGAGATACCAAGCTACATACTTAAAAAGCTCAGTGAATTCTCAAAAAGAAAACCCAAAGAAAAACAGGCAAATAATCATCAAAATTTCTGAAAACTA